GGGAGGCTGAGGCAGGAGACTCACTTGAGCCCAGGAGCTGGAGATTGCTGTGAGCAGTGAAGCCATGGCATTCTACCCAGGAGGACAGCTTGAGGCTCTGTCTCAAAAAAAAAAGAAAAAAAAAGAAAAAAATTCTGAGATGTGTAGGGTGGCACCTGTGGCTCAGTGAGTGGGGCACCGGCCTCATATACTGAGGGTGGCGGGTTCAAACCCAGCCCCAGCCAAATTGCAACAAAAAAATAGCCAGGTTTTGTTGCGGGTGCCTGTAGTCCCAGCTACTCGGGAGGCTGAGGCAAGAGAATCACCTAAGCCCAAGAACTGGAGATTGCTGTAAGCTGCGATGCCAGCGCACACTATTAAGGACGACAAAGTGAGACTCTGTCTCTTAAAAAAAAAAATTCTGAGACGTGAAACTGCCAAAAAAAATCACAATGTAATTATCTGAAATACAGTATTATGTATCAAAAATAAGAACTTGAAATAATACTAATGATGAGTTAAAAGAGTTATCATCCATGCAGTTATTTTTGGCAAAGAGAGGGAGTAAGCCCCTAATTTCTACTTGGGAAGCAAATGAGCCCAATCTCATCTTCCTTTCAACGAAGGCAAAACTCACAAATCTTTGTGCATCATTAGTAGCTAGTGACCACTAAAGTACAATAAATAAATGTTTACTAACACAATTATAATGTATGAAATTAATTCTATAATTTTAAACTTACAAATTACTTATACTGTTACTAAAAAAAAATGCAGTTAGATCACTGACTACTGCTCCAGTACCAAATATAAAATAAAACACAAACTCAAAATAGCTGTCATCCAGAAGCTCATATCAAATGCAAAATGCAAACCACAATAGGAATGATGTACATATAACATTACCTGTGGTAAGGAGTGCTTGGTTCATCTATTTTCATTAAACCATAGTCTTTGTCTGCTGGATGGTATGTTGCCAGGATGTTCATCTCATCCCACTTCTGGGATTTTTTACTAAAATTAAAAAGAAAAAAACTTTTTCCCAATGCAGTAAAAGATAAACGTGTACATATAAAATTTACACTCAAATCCCATATTTCTACTTTAATCTCTATTTTCACATATACTTCTTTGGAACAGAAATTGACTCAGAGTAAAAGTCATTAAGTAATTACAATAAAATGCTGGAAAATATTTTATGGAACATTTAGTACCCATGTTAAAAATACAGTATTCAGAATCTACATCGGGCCCTCAAAAACACTATTACATTCTTTGGTATGCTTAGTCTTCATATAGTCTATAGAATAATAACTACAATCAAAATCCACACATTCTCTAATGTCCGCAGTTAAGAATTTCTGATCTTAATACTGGTAATTGATATATTAAAAAAAAAAAACCAAAAAACTGGATCAGTGTATAGGAAGGATAAAAATAAATAATAACAGAAATATTTCCTTGGCACAATTTCTTTAGAGAGATCCATAACAATCAGAACGTAAAACTACATAGAAAATTTCATTAAACTCAGATAACACTAAATAATTAGATTGCAAGTAAAATTAAAGCTTAATTTTGGATCTAGAAAAACCAAGAAATGGTATACTCAGATTTACTTGAAAAGAAATAGAAACGCTTTGTAAGTAATTTTGGAATATCAATTAAACTCCTTTCAACAAAGTATGCATACAACTACTCAAATGTTAAATAATTAAGCATCTGATTACCAATTACCTATTCATTAAAAAGGACTTCAAAGACCTCTCTACAAGCCAAAATTATTTTGTTACATCTGCAGTTTGTGACTTTGCTATGTACTTGATGAGGTTTTACTGTAGGTATCTTCAATTTTCCAGATCCTAAAATCCCTTTAAAAGTGACGTACTTCCATTCCTTTCTCCATGCCTTCAAAATGGTTTGATGAGTATACAAATTGTACGTGCCCACTCCTGGCAGGTAAGTTTGATTTCATGTTCTCTGGTTTTCTTCCTTAAAGTACCCAGTGTCCCCACTTCAGACTAGGCCATTTCTTCCCTTTTTCTTTCATTGTGGTAAAATATACATAACATAAAATACACCATTTTAATTTTTTTTTGCTAACCTCTTCCAAATTATTTTGGTGTATGTGCTGCCCAAGCAAGCACTTTAACCATTTTTAAGTGTACAATTCCGTGGCATTAAATACATTCCCAGTGCTGTGGAGCCATCACCATCATCCATCTCCAGAACTTTTTCATCTTTCCCAGCCGAAACTCTGTACCTATTAAACTCTAACTCCCTTTTCCCTCCACCCCCCAACTCCAAGCAACCACCCAACCTCTGGAGATTCTACTTCCGGTTTCTATGAATTAGACTACTCTGTGTACCTAACATAAATAAAATCATACAGTATTTCTCTTTCTGTAATTGGCTTATTTCACTTAGCATCCATGTCTTCATGGTTGATCCATGTTGACCCTTGCTGAACTACATGTTGTAGCATGTGTTTGCATTTCCTTTTATAAAGATGAATAATATTCCACTGGAAACTAAACACTTCAGACTACAAATTCTTTATAAATCTTACCTACCCTTCATTTTCTCAAGAGGCAAGATAGGCCCAGACAGATACTCACAGGTGACTGACACTACAACTCCTATCCCCCCTAAAAAAAAGTCAGAGGTTGCCTAAAGTCTTTTCACCATGAAATACTCAAAATCTTAAAAGCTTATAAGAAGTTACAAAACAAGACATAAAAGTCATTATTTTTAAGCAGAGAAACAACACTTCTTGTTTAAAGAAATGCTTTGTTGTTCCTTCAGAATGGAACTCATATAGACGTCCACTCAATTCATCTGAATTTTCAACTAATCAAATTAAAATGTGATTAGCATTTGAAAAAAGTCACTTGATGTGACTGGCTAAATAAATCTTGCTTTAACAATATTGATTTCCAGAGCAAGGACCGTTGAAAAAAAGGGATTCGTGAAAGTGTTGTTACAACTACACCAACAGGCCAGCAGGTGCAAAAAATCTTCCATTTGGAGAAATACCTTTTTATTCTGTATTAAAAATGAAGCTTTTATGTGAGTGCAGGTCTGTTACAAGAAAGGCATAGCATAGATTCCAATGATTTGAGTGATTATATAACTTAAAGCAAAACGAAGGTAAGTAAGGAACTAAAGCTAAAAAATTTATGCCAGCAAAGAATGCTTTGACAATTTTGAAAGAGGTTTGGCTTAAGAAATGTAGCTCCTGCTGACCCAGAGACAGCAGACAGGTTCCCAGATGCCATTAAGAAAATCACTGAGGCCTGGAGTGGGGGCTCATACCTGTATTCCTAGCACTCTGGAAGGCCAAGGAGTCTGGACTGCCTGAGCTCACAGGTTCAAGACCAGCCTGAGCAAGAGCTAGACCCTATCTCTAAAAATAGCTGGGCACTGTGGCAGGCACCTGTAGTCACAGCTATTCTGGAGGCTGAGGCAAGAAAATCACTTGAGCCCAAGAGTTTGAGGTTGCTGTGAGCTATGATGCTACAGCACTCTACCAAGGGGGACAAAGCGAGACTCTGTCTAAAAAATAAAAGAAAATCATTGAGATGAATATCTGTCTGAACAGGTTTTTAATGCACACAAAAGTGTTCCATTCTGGGAGAGAAATGCCATTAATAAATAAAGCATATTTATTAAGGAGTAAAGAAGAGAAGTGAGCACCAATATTTAAGGTAGGAAGGGACAGGTTAGTTAACTCTATGGTTTTCTGCAAAAGTAGTAGGTTTTATGATCAGGACAGTCTATAAGGCTGCTAGCTCCTGAGCCTTGAAGTGAAAAGAGAACAGGTGCCAGTCTTCTGACTGTATAACAAGAAGGCTTGGACAAGAACCCTTTTTCTGGATTGGTTCCAACATGCTTTGTCCCTGAAGTCAGGAGTTAGTACCTTGCCAGTAAATGGTTGCCTTTTAAAGTTCTTTGATATTGAACAATGTCTCTGGTCACCAACAACCCCATGAGGCATCAAAGTAGTCTACTTGCCTCCAAACAACCTCTCTAATTTTGCCTCTAGGTCAGAGGGTCATAACACTTTTTATGGCTCATTATATATATAATTCTCTATGAAAAGAATTGTCAATGCTATGGAAGAGAATCCCAGCACAGAGAACATCATGAAAATCTGGAAAGATTACACTACTGAAGATGCCATTGTTATAGAAAAAGCAAAATAAATGATAGAAAATAAATTCTTGCTGGAGAAAACTGTCCAGATATCATGCATGACTTCACGGATTTATGACAGAGCCAATCAAGGAAATCACAAAATGGACTGTGGCCAAAAAAAAAAAAAGGTGAGGGGGGCTGGAGAGGTGAAGAGTTTCAGGATATGGATCTTGGAGAAATTCAAGAGCTAACAGCCATAATGCCAGAGGAATTAACATATGACTTGATGGAGATTCTCAGCCAGTGCCAGATAATGAAGATGATGCACAAGCAGCAGCACCAAAAACAAATTCACATTAGACAATCTGGCAGAAGGTTTCTGTCTATTCCAGACGGCTTTTGCTTTCTCTGACAACACAGCCCCTTCTATGGTATAGGCACTGAAACAAAAGCAAATGATGGAAGATGAATTGGTACCACATAGAAAAACTTTTAGAGAAAATGAAAACACAAAAGTCATGCAGAAATAATGATGCATTTCCATGAAGTTACACCTTGTATGTTTGCTTCTCCCCCCACCTCTTCTATTACCCTTGAGACAGGAACACTAACCCCTCCTCAGCTTACTCAATGTGAAGACAAGGATGAAGACCTTTAGGATGATCCACTTCCACTTAATGAATAGTAAACATATTTTCTCTGCTTTATGATTTTAACATTTTATTTTCTCTAGCTTTATTGTAAAAATACAGTTTATAAGGCAGCTTCTGTGGCTCAGAGTAGTAGGGTGCCAGCTCTGTATTCCAGAGGTAGCGGGTTCAAACCCAGCCCTGGCCAAAAATTGCAAAAAAAAAAAAAAAAAAGAATACAGTTTCTAATACATATACCATACAACATATGTGTTAACTAACTATTTATGTTGGAGGTAAAGCTTCCAATCAACTGTAGGCCACTAGTAGTTAAGTCCTGGGGAGTCAAAAGTTGTATGTGGATTTTTGACTTCTGGGGGTTGAGGTGGGGTGTCAATGCTCCAAACCCCTGTGTTGTTCAAGGGCCAAATGTACACTACATAGAAATTATAAAATGGAATTTTAATAACAATCCCTCTTATGATTTAGGGCTATCGAATCAATTGAAATGTCTATGAAACCAAATTATAAAAGCGCTACACAAAGAGTTTTTATGATTTTATTTTTTACTTTTATTGTTTTTAAATTTATTTACTTTTTTTTTTTTTTTTTTTAGACAGAGCCTCAAGCTGTCCCCCTGGGTAGAGTGCCATGGCATCACAGCTCACAGCAACCTCCAACTCCTGGGCTCAAGCGAGTCTCCTGCCTCCGCTTCCCAAGTAGCTGGGACCACAGGTGCCCGCCACAACGCCCGGCCATTTTTTGGTTGCAGCCGTTATTGTTGTTTGGCGGGTCTGGGCTGGGGATTCGAACCCGTCACCTTAGGTGTACGTGGCTGGTGCCTAGCTGGTTGAGCTATAGGCGCCGAGCCAATTTATTTACTTTTAATTAAAAAAAAAAGTTTTTTACTAGTCAAATGCAGTAGTGAGAAGAGAAAAAGTAGAATAAGGCATTCAACCTGTGACTATGAACAATCACTTGAGATAACTCACTACCTGTGGACTAGCCTTTTGTGATTTTAAAATAAAAAGTTTTGGGTGAAGAATATGAAACAAGATCTCACTTAGCACTGTAGGGATTCAGTTCAGACATGGCATTCTGAAAAGTTTAAATTGCTTTTATACTTTTGTGCTTTTTGAATGTCTCTACCTTTGCCCTGTAAGACTCAACATTTAAATGATTTTGAAATACTTAAGATATGCCACAGACTATTTCTAAAAAGCATTCTTCTGTTTGTCTAAAACTATA